TGTGATGCTGATCTTTATGGAGAAACATGTGCAACGTGAATGACCCACTCCCCTTACAATTTATGTACAGAGTATGTGACACCCCCCATGCAGCATGTAAAGTACAAAATCAACGACCGCCCTTCCCGGCCCTCACTATTCCCATAATGTTTAAGCATCGTTTTTAAATTTTGTCATGTACAAAATTTCTCATACGGAAATGTTTTCACAGTTACATAGCTTATTACGCCAAAAATCAGAATTATTTCAGAACACAATGGGGTGTTTGAACTATTTCCATTAACGTGACCGATTATATGATATTTATTACGTGATGTAAATTACATGATGCTTGCATTATAAAACAACACAGTTAATGAAAATGAAACGTCGTACACCATGAGAGGTTTGCTTGAATGGGAATTGCCACACGATATAAACGATTGAATAACTGACGAGTACAAAATAATTAGAAACTCTTAAGGTGCTTCCAACCTATATTGGAAAATTAAATGTGAGCTACATATTTGCAGAGGAATATGGAAATATGTAACTGATAATTTTCAGTGTCTCCTCACAAAAACATTAACTAAATCATATTCCGCGCATAGATCGCCTTAAGTTTTAGAGTTAACCGGGAGCAGTACTGCAGTAAATAGGGTTTTACGAAATTGTGGACTGTTTATCCCAGTTCTGGTCGTATCCCAGTTCTGGTCGCTACACGGACTGTACTTTGGGCGCTGATACAAAGGTTTTCAGTTTGTTTAGTCCAGAATTTCAGTGTATTAGGAAACAGCCACACAGAAATTTCATCTGAGAAAATCACATTGTCCCAGTTAAAATTATTATGCTGTAAGCACCAGTTCAACCTTCGCTCCTTTTGTTCAGGTTTCATGATCGGTGATGGAATTCCTCGACTTTTCTGCCAACCCATTGCATGCAGCTCAGTTCTAATTGTCTCCTTACAGACAGCCACAGTTCCTCTATCAATCATATCCAGCCTTAAGTTTTCTAAACTCCTTCGCTTGTTTTTAGAAACAAGAATACCAAGCCGCCTCCTGTCACCGACAGTCAATTTTCTGGGCATACCTGCGCCTACCTGGTGCTCAATGCCATATCCATTTGCAATATTTTTCAAAACACGATAAACAGTGGACAAAGGGATGCCTGTTCTACTTGAAATCACTTTAGCTGATCTGATGTCCTTGTTGTAATACTCTAAAATCAACTTCCTCTTCTCTAAATCATCCATACTGAGGATCACTGAAAATGTCGTCTGCTAGCAAGTAAACAAAGGGGGATAACTCTTCACAAACTAATGAAAAAGGATTAACGGAGTTGTCTCTCTTGAATGAAACCAAGCACTTGATAGCTGGTCAAGGTTGTTTATACTAGAAATCCAATTAAACATATTCCTAAAATTCTCTATAATTTCTGGTCATACTATATATGTGATGTATCAAGTATGTACACTGTGTGGTCCGGTGGTTAAAGCGTTTGCTCGTCACGCTGAAGACCCAGGTTCGATTTCATACATGGGCCCAATGTGTGAAGCCCATATCTGGTGTCTCCTGTCGTGATGTTGGAATATTGTTAAAAGCGGAGTAAAACCATACTCACTCACTCTGAATCTGTACCCCCAACGCACGCACGCACGCACGCAAACGCACAACCATGCCTCAATAGCATCTGACTTATGTCTTGAAAGCACTGAACTCGTCGTCGTTGCTCAGGGCTAGATGTTTTCAATTATATGAACGTAACCAAATATGTCGTTAATAGCAGAGTTCACCAGTTTTGTGTCATTCTGCTAATAGTTCATTGTCTGTGTCACAGTTGTATGTTAAACGTATGCTGGATACATATATGTTTATATGTATAATAATATGGTTATCCCAATAATTTGTCAATGAAGTTGCATTTAAATGCGCAACTGAACCGACGAACACACCTCATATCGCAATCTGTCACCCATATCATGGTTGAGATAAGCTGCATCTGCATATTAATTACTCATTTAACCAAACAGAGAACACACGTTTCGGAAGGTGAAACTATCATCATTTCTAATGAATTTGCCAAAATAGACCACAAAGTCATTTCGAATGGTGAATGCATACATATATGTGACATAGTAGACTTGCACAAGTCTCTAAGGTAATAATTGATAGTTTAACTAATTGAAGTTTAAATGATAATTTCTAAAAAAATAACAAACTGGCGTCTTTAGTATAATGGCTGCTTATCCAGATTTACCTCTTAAAAGGATATAATTACTATTCATCCATTGGCTTAGCATTCAGTACAGCCTTGGAGCAAGGCTAGCGTCATAGTTACGGTAAATATGTTCACACTGAACGATTGTGTCTTACTATACTACTCACACTTTGCTAAGGATCACAAAAATTTACGTAACTTTACGTCAACGTAGATTCTTAATTTGAAATTGTATCCATTTAAAACTGGATAAATTATAATATGGTAACCCCTATTCAGGCAAATATTCACTTTAATCTAATCTTAGGCACCTGATACATGAGTAACCATAGAAATTGTTTTCATGGCACCAGTCAGCCATTTTGCAAATCATGGAAGTACACAACACCTGTCAATAACAGGTATGGGTTCCACAAGATGCAATGACATACTGAAACCTGGGATCAATGCTTACAATAAACTTAGATATTATTTAAAGCAAATTCTAACACGACATTGTGTGATACTCGATTCTGATTGGCTCGATTCAAAACCGTACTTAAATGGCAGTTTAAGACCGCTAATTAAAGTGACCGATTCACCGCGTATAAATATAATGAACTCGTTGACCCTTTTGCTTGTGAACAAACACGTCGGACATCGGCGATTTCTACCTTGGCAACATCTTTGATGTTTTTGAATTAAAAAGCGAATGGTTTGAAGAAGAATTCCTTGTAAGTAATCTCAGTGAACAACAAACTACGACGTTGGAAAATTCGTTAGCAGCGCAAAAGCGGCAGTATTCAAACCGGGTCTAGATCTAGCGGGCATGACGTCGACAACACACGTCGGCCCACACGTCCCAACCTGACTGCTTCCTTCCCGGCCGGAATGCCCAGTCCTTTCACTTCCACTGTCCATGTATCCCACATAAAACGTGGCATGTCAGGTCTTTTCCAAATTGGGAATAGTAGGGTGATTATCAACAATTATATCCGTGAATAAAGTTAGCGGCGACTAAACTTAGCGAGTTCACGGCTTGAATTGGGGCGAGTCGATTGCCATACAGTAGGGGAGATCAATAATTCGCTAGAGAAAAATCAAATAATTGCACTTGCTCACAGTATAAAGTGTATTTCTTTTATATATGCATGCTTCTTGTTACATATACAATCATATTGGTTCCTGAAATAAAGTATTTATGTTGTTGAAAATGTGTTATTTTGTTCATTACACAACCTGTGCCTCAACGGGACGATTCCAAGCGATTTCCAGGCAAAAGGCCCCTTCACGCCTTGTGTTCTTGCGCGCCAAACAGTTCGGTTTTAAAACGCTTATCAGTCGTGCTAGAATGAAGATAAAGGTACTCTGTTTTCAATTTTGCGGTCCTTTATCGTTGATCTAAGACCGCTAAAAGTTTAATTTAAATTACATATAAATTACATTTAGCGGTCTTAAATCAACTATAAAGGACAGCAAAAGTGAAAACAGAGTACCCCTATCTTCTAATTTGACCCCACATCATAGTTTTCTGTTGAATCCATGATTCGATCATTAGCAAAGTGTGAATAGCATAGTTCGTTAGTTCCTCGACTTCTCAAAGATGGCAAATTATTGGTATGCGGAATGCTGGCATGTCACTGAAAACTGTTGCAAGAGATGTTGGTTTTCATCCATCGACTATCAGCTGATCAGAAAACATCAGCAAACTAAAGATGTCCTTCATCGCCTAACGTCAATTGTAATCCACAGTGCGCAACGCAGCACAAATGGCGTTGTGGGACGTTGTGGGTTGCAGAATACGCCAGGATTATCCTCCAGTAAAAATCATGATGTATTGGAATAGGTCCTCCGTCTAGAATGTAACGCAGTACCTCAACGTCAGATTCAAATTCTGATACAGTCGATGAGGATGTTATTGCATATTTAGAGGTTAATATTGACATTCTGCTCAGTTGTTATGCGTTTCTTGAGGATTGTATGCCATAACCTTAACACTCACTTCACCTATGAACGTCACCACTACAAAACGAGTCAATTGTTTGCCATGTTAGCTTCTCTGAATAAACTAGAGTTTTTCGTTCCTTTTGCGTTTAGATGTGCCATTTATTTTATTCCTAGAGGGTAAATTTACCCAGATAGTAAGTCGAATTGATGTTTGGATAAGTCAACTTTCTATGGTAGGTTGGTTGGTTTGATGTTTAACGCCGCCCAAACAAACATACAATCATAATAATGTATGTTTTAGTGCTGAACTGATGCTTTCTGGCTCTCAGGTTACTGGGGTTGATGAGAAGGCAGAAGTGTTCAATCAATCTGTAGCAAATATTCTTGACTGACATGCTACACTTAAGACATGGACGGTTGTAGTTCGTCCTCACACGGGTTGGTACAATGACGACATAAAAGATCAGACTTAAAGCTGAAAAAGTGTGGCGTTCATCAAAATTAGAAATTCATCGACAACTGTACAAGGAAGCTTGCAATGAAGTTAACAAGGCCCTACCAATGCCAAAACAACAATTCTATGAAACAGCATGAAGAAAACAGAACTAACTTCAAACAGATGTTCACAATGATGAACAACCTGCTACTGCGCAAAATAAAGCCATGTTTCCCTGAACATGAAAACCAATCTGCACTAGCAGACAGATTTGCAAATATTTTTAATGCTAAAATTGAAAATCTTCGCTCAGGTCTAGAGGCGGGAAATAGGGATCTTGTTGTAGCGTCTGAGGAACATTCTTTCAATGGTGATGCCCTGGGCTGTCTTCAGTGTGCGTCAAAAGAAGAACTGTTACAATGTGTCCATAAATCCAACTCTAAATCATCTGCTCTGGATGTGAGACCAACATTGCTTCTCAAGCTGGTACTTCAGCATATCGCTGCACCCATACTAGATATTATCAACACACCCCTGGTGTCTGGTAAAGTGCCAAAGAGCTTCAAGCATGCATCTGTTCCTGTTCTTAAAAAATCTAACCTTGACCCAAATGAGATGAAAAACTTTCGTCCGGTCTCAAATCCATCATTTATTTCAAGATGCCTTGAAAATAATTGTTCAAAGCAGGCTGTTCGACCATCTCCAAAGCAACCAGCTGTTAGAAACAGTTCAATCTGCCTATAAAAGTATAAGCACAGTACTGAAACCTGGTATGTGTTCACAATGATCACATGTCAGCAATGGAGTAGCAGAACATCACACTTTGTGTTCTCCTCGATCTCTGCAGCATTTGACACTGTGAACACAGTTCCTCCTGTACACTGCAGACAAGACTTGGCATCACAGGACTGACTCCTCCCGCTTTTAGCAATATTCCAGCTCACGCAGACACCAGAAATGGGCTTCACACATTGTACCCATGTGGGGATTCGAACCCGGGTCTTCGGCGTGCTTTAACCACTAGGGTGGATACGCACACACACACACACGCCCCACCCCACCCCACCCCACCCTGGCATCACAGGAACAGCGCTGGGGTGGATACGCTCGTACCTCTGCAACCATACCCAACCTGTCAAGATCGGTGATGTGTCCTCAACACCCAGACAAATGGTGTATGGCTTTTCAGCCTCTACATTCTGCCTATTGGAGACATTTTCACTAACCATGGACTCAAGTTCCACATCTATGCATATGACAATCAGATATATGTATCCATCAAACACCTGGAAGCAACTTGTGGTACTCAAAGACTTGAATTGTGCATGACAGATATTAGAACATGGATTACAGTTAATTACCTTAAACTTAACGACAACAAAACAGAGTTTCTTCTTGAAGGGTCAAAGCAACAACTCCAGAACTTACAATCTGATCTTTCTCTCATCATTGGTAATGACAAAGTAAAACCATGTACTTCAGCAAGAAATCTAGATGTGATTGTTCAGTCTACAATGACACTTGACGGGAGGTCAAACCATCAGCAAATCTTGCTACTAACATATCCTTAACATCAACAAAATCCGTTACCTGTTAGATACCCAAACAACCAAGATTCTCATTCAAACACTTGTCATATCTCGATTGGACTATTGCAACTCCCTATTCTACAATATTACAGGATCACTTCTTTCCAAACTGCAAAAATCCATAACTCAGCTGCTCATGTCGTTTCAAGAACTCATAGAACTGAATATATCACGCCCATTTTGTATTCCCTCCACTGGCTTCCAGTTCAGTACAGGATCCAATACAAGATACTTGGGACACAACTGTATCTACAACTCGGCCACAACAGATTACCTCGGAAACCTTATCAGTCAACACATTCCAGCACCTCCACTTCGTTCCATGGACAACCTCAGTCTAACTTATATTAACCAAGCTCAAGAACTAACATGGGACAGAGAGCCTTCGCAGCAGCAGCTCCAACCCTTTGGAATAACCTTGAGATTATTATCATCAGAGTCTGCCTTCAAAACAGCATTAAAAACCCATCTTTTCCAAACTGCCTCCGCAAAGCTACTCTAATACTACTGTGTACACTGCTATAACTCAGTGTGTTTTCTAATCTTCAACACTCTTTCTTACAGCTCTGTTGAGCACCATATAGTGGAAACTAGGCGCTACACAAATCCATTATTATTATTATTTATTATTAATTACCCACTTGAAACCATTGTACATTTTTTAGATGCCTGTCAGTATGCAAAAACATATGGAGACAACTTTCAGAATTGCTTGCAAAACATACTGAAAGAAACATGGAATTCAATAAAGAGAATATATTATTTGGATTTAATTGTATGAATAATAACCCGTTGAATGCAATTATTCTTATAACAAAATATATGCTTTACAGATGTATTATTAAGAAAGTCAAACCAAATTTGAAACCTTTTCAGCCCGAATTATATAGATACTATCAAACAACAAATTTACAGCATTCTCAAACTGTAAACAAGCAAACTTTCATGCCTTTTGGTCATCTCTACATATGCTTTTCAGTAATCCTGTGTACTGCTTTAGATATGACATCTAAAAACAATTCAATTTTTGTGTGCATCTATATGCACATATATATGCACATATGTGTATTAATATGTTCTGAAATGAGTGGTAAAGTGAAACCTAAAAGTGGAAATAAAAGAACTGAATAGTAATGTATGAAATACATAAATATATGTACTTATACATTACGGTTCTAATATCCCCAAAGAAGTGGTTGGTTGGTTGGTTGGTTGGTTGTTTAACGCCGCACAACCAACATTCCAGCTATATGGTGGCAATCTGTAAATAATTGAGTCTGGACAAGACAATCAAGTGATCAACGGTATAAGCATCGATGTACACAGTATAGATACCAAATCAGCGATCTTGACCACCCGATCCCGTCAGTCGCCTTTTACGCATGAGCATCGATCTGCACAATTGGGATCTGATGACATGTGTCAACCACGTCAGTGAGCCTGACCACCCGATCCCGTTACCTGTTAGATACCTAAACAACCAAGATTCTCATTCAAACACTTGTCATATCTCGATTGGACTATTGCAACTCCCTTTTCTACGATATTACAGGATTCACTTCTTTCCAAACTGCAAAACATCCAAAACTCAGCTGCTCATGTCGTTTCAAGAACTCATAGAACTTCCAGTTTCACGCATCGGTTGCTGAAGACCAATTCTAGCCCGGGTTCTTCACGGGTCATTTGCTATTGATTATTGATTATATACTACTCACACTTTGCTAAGGATGACAAAAATTCCCAACTTTACTTAAACATAGATTCATAATTTGATTTTTTTATCCTTTTAAAACTAGATAAATAATGATATGGTAACCCCTCTTTAGGCAAACAGCCACTTTATTCTAACCTTATGCACTTGATACAAGAGTAACCATAAAAATGGTTTCATGGCACCAATCAAACATTTTGCAAATCATGGAACGAGTCATTGATAAGTACACAACACCTGTCAATAGCAGGTATGGGAAACCTAGGATCCATGCTTACAATAAGCTTAGATATTTAAACCAAATTAGACCCCACATCATAGTTTTCTGTTGAAGCAATGATTTCATCCTTAGCAAAGTGTGAATAGTATATATTAACATATTGGTACTGTATTAACATATTGATACTGAGACATTATGTGGAGTCCACAATCGAGTGCACACTCATCCATAGACAGGAGTAATGATAACGCCGCACGTGCATCATGAAAGTGTCTGGTGTGGAATAAAGCCCAATATCGTACCTCACATAGCTTCTGAAGCAGAAGACGAATTCTGAGACAGAATACGAATTTAGTATAACCACTGGGACATCAATCGGAATGCACTTATCTCGCACAAGTATCCCTGCGTTTCTGAAATATACCGATGGGTTGGGGTTTTTCCCCAAATGCACTAGGTAATGTCACATATGTTTAATATATTTTGGATTACACCTTCTCATCTGTGTCATTTGACGACTTCCTAAATGACATTGTGTATTCATGCACTGGGTAAAAGGTAGTCTCTGTTCTAGGTACTGGGAAATATATTACAAGAGGATTTCAACTTTAGTCTAGAGTTATTTGACAAGTTCTTGGCTGACATTCGTTCTGAGCTCTTTTTTTTGGATTTTAAGTATTTTCTCTGCAGATATCGGCTACGAGGTTTGCTCAGTGATATACTGGGCATGCATTTTATGAAAAAACGTAGGCAACATAAATCCATTGTCACTGATCACCGTGAAAGAATAATGTCCCATAAACGCTGAGTGTGAGCCAATGAACAGGGAGAAATGAGGACAACAGTATGCACATATATAAATAAGGAAAAATACCTCACATGCGCGTTACGAAGAGATATCAAGTCACTCAAGATCATGTCAACCAAAATGGCGGTTAAACTCGTTGAAACTCAGCTGACACAAATGCTTGAAGTACTCAAGACATCTCACAGGTGGATTAAGGTGACCTTATTGTATTAGCTCACCCGGCTATAGCGCTTTGCATGATCTGCCGTCAGTATCAAGTCCTAATAACTGTGAAAGATACCGGCTTGTAACATGAACAAGTCTTCGTCAAAGACGTCGATGCCGAGGGCGAGTATGGTTTAAACAGAGATGCCTTGTCCCGTTCTCGTTTCAGATTGCGGGAGAAGTGGAAGCCGCACTGGAACACCGTATAACAGATTACGAATTCGTTGTGGACAGATGGCCGGATTGCAGGGCGATGGTTGTTCGTGCGAAGGATAATGACTTGCAGGTATATTACGTTTTTTGTCAGTGTAAACATAAAAGGTTAAGCTATGTGTAATTTCTATCCTACACCGCCTCTATTCCTAGGTACCTGTGCATGACAGTTTAGCTCAATTAAACAATTTCCATACACCTATAAATTGTTATTTTGTCATTTCACAATTAGCTGACCTTTGTTGATTGTGTGTGTGTGTGTGTGTGTGTGTGTGTGTGTGTGTGTGTGTGTGCGCGCGTGTGTGTGTGTGTGTGTTTTTGTTACATAGCAACATAAACTTTCCAAATAATTCAAGATACACTAGCTATGAAAAAGGTTCTGATATTTCCATTGGGGTAAATGATTTACAACATTTGACTGTCAACAGTGGGAGTATCGAGAGCCGCTTGTGAACCTGTATGCTACTGACGTCGAAGCACTGAGAGGCCTTCTACACAACCTGGACTGGTCCAAGGGGAAACGATTTGAATGTAAGACATATTGTCGTTTGCGTTTTCTTTTTACTTCATTCGGGTTAGAATTGGTCTTTGGAAACCCATGCTTGTAAGAGGCGACTAACGGGATCGGGTGGTAAGGCTCACTGACTTGGTTGACACATGTCATCGTATCCAATTTGTCCTGATCGATGCTCATGCTGTTGATCACTGAATTGTGTGGTCCATACTGGAATATTTACAGACCGCCGCCATTTAGCTGGAATATTGCTGAGTGGGCATTACACAATAAACAATCGAACACTCAACGCAGAAAATCTGAGGCAAGGTGAAATGGCGTTTAACATCGCCATCTAGATTACTGCTCTTTTACAGTGACGTGCATACATCCTGGCTCTTACACGAAACATGCTTTCACTTTGTCAGGTGTGGACCGACGTCTAGTGCCAGTTCTGTCAGAAGTGATTCAACTCTACCGGGTACCCACCTTTCTCCACACTGACGTTACGTTACTCAGGCTCACGCAACATACACTGAAGCTCAGGTATATTTGTACCAAAGGACTTCTAGGCTTGGTAGACGTACAAGAACATTTGCTACTTCTATAGAATGTTTTTAAAATACATTGTTGACAATCCTGATCTACCATACGATTCATTAATAACTTTGACATGGTAAATGGTGAATCTGTCTTCATAAAGATGCTTCAGAGATAATATTGTCATAATTAAAATTCAAGTTAGATCGATAGTTAACTACGTTTGATAGCGAACACACTTATAACGAAATGTTATTGCAAACTATTCCATTGCTACGTTCTATTTGTATATTTTAATCGAAGTGCGTAGAACGAACTGCTGTTATAATGAAATTAAGAAGTGGCCCCTTTAAGTTCGCTATAACCGTAGTTTACTACATTTAGCTACGGTCAAACGCCGTTTTGTTCATCTTTGATGTGCCGCTGTAACTGTTGTCTCGAAGTTAAAGTTTGAGCCCTGTCTATCCCTTTTTATCGGCTGTGTCTATAGGTTCGAGATAATTCGGATAACTCGAAGATTGATATATGATAATCATTGTTGTCAAAGGCCCATTCCTGACGAATGTAGCATGTCCAGCCTAACGGCAGATCAAGCTGCTCGGGTGAATTCCAGGTGGGTACTACGCAATGGAAACGTGTCCGAAGCCTACATCAAGCACTTAATAACCACACTTCCTTCCACGTGTCTGTACAACCGGGAGGGGGCGCTGCTGGGATACGCCCTCACCTATCACTACGGGTGTCTGGGGGTGCTGTACGTGCAGGAAGAACACCGAGGCAATGGGTACGGAAAGGTGGCCATGTCCCAGCTCGCTCTAAAACATCTGCAAAAAAAGAAGGAGGTGTTTGTCATGATACAACGTGTCAATACAGCGTCTATCAAGATGCACGAAGCCATTGGGTTTGAGGTTATTCCAGATACGTCATTTGATTGGATATTTTGTGATGACTAAAATGCATATCAAGGATCTGTCAGTCTGTTTCTCAAACATTACAGACTGCACGTATGTGCATCTGTGATTGGACATAGTCAAATAAAGACATACTGAATTAAAAACGGATTATCTGTTTGTAAATAAAGAATATCGATTATCCGACGGAACAGATTTTAAAATAGATATAAGCTAAAAGGGTAAGCATGCCCTGTGCTGTCGGTATAATTTTTAAGAGCGTATTATACTTCGAAATATATCATCATTTACTGAACTTATGACAATAATCTTTGTCAACGTTAATCAACTTTACGAATTTGTTTGACAATACATCAGTTCATGTGTAAACAGTACCATTAAACAGTATGGCATATTTTTCAAAATTTAGTTTAGAACGTAGATGGTTATAATTGTTTACACTAGTGAGTCTAAACCTTTGATGAGAAGTATATATTGAACATATGTACATGAGAAACATGAAATAATTCGTTTTATGATATGTAGAG